AGGAGACGGCGGCGGCGGCCCCGCATCCCGCCCAGCCCGCTCGCCCGCCGCTGTGCCGCAGCCGGAACGGCCGCCGCTGCCCGCCGGACTGCCCCGCCGACAACCGCCGGCCGCCGCGCAGCCCGCCGGGAAGCCGAGGCCCGCCCTCGCCGCCCATCGCCGCCGGGAACTGCAACCCCCACAAGGCCCCGCGGTGTCGGCGCCTCCGAGAACCCGTAGCGGTCCCGCGCACAGCCTGTCGGGAAGCTCAGCTCCGGGGCCCGGGCGCGAAGCACGATGGGACTTGAAGTCCGCACAAGGACCGAGCGCCACGACGCTGGCCGAAGGCTTCCGGAGGTTCCGCCCGGACCCTTCCCTGGGACGGGTCCCGCGACCACTTGCTCAGCCAGCCGCCCCTCCCACCGGGACCTGGGCTCCCTCGGGGCAAGGCGACCAGCGGAGCCGGTGCTCCACTTCCGGGCCGACTTCGTCCCGAGCGTGAGGTGCTCAGTGCCAGTCTTCCGGCACTAGACCTGCACAGGCGATGCCAGGACCGCGGAGCAGGAGAGCCCCACTCTGTACGGGGGCTGCTCAGGGCAGGATGTAACCAAGCAGGCCTTGATGAGCACTGCAAATGCCTTCCTCCAGCAGGCCTGAATTCCAGCAGGCCTGAATTCAAGGCCCCCTCTGCCCATCCCTTCCCCCAAGCTGACTTCCGGGACAATAAGCACAGGACCACTGTTACACAGGGACTTTCGGGGCCAACAGCATCTGCACCTTTATCCCCACGCTGGGTGGCTAGGCCTGAGACACCAACAAATCACTCTATAAAACCCAGAGGAAACAAGGAGCAAGTGCAAGTCCAGGGAATAGGGCCAAGGTCACGCAGAAAGGTCACTGTTATCAAAACGCTCCTGGTCATACACTTCAGCCACCACCTTGCGGCCAGCAAACCAGCGCCCATTGAGGGCCTGGATGGCCTTGTGAGTCTCGGAGGCTATGGAAAACTCCACAAAAATCTTGACGATGATCTCTGCGTCCTCCTCCTCGCCCTGCTTCTCCTGGTATATGATGACACGGTTCACAGCACCAAACTTGCCACACTCCTCGGTCACCTCCCCCTCCAGGTCATCGTCGATGTCCTTGGGGTCCACCATGTTACGCAGAACCATCACCGTGGACTGTGCAGGGGAGGGGACAGCTGAGAGCTATGGCTGGCTGGGTCACCCTGCCCCACCCACCCCAGTGGCCCCAGATGCCCACCTCCTGCTTTCGGAGCAGCTTCTGCATCACCATGTGGCGGGCGCTACTACCGGAGATGCTCATGTGCTCCTGCTCGCTGAGCATCTCTGGCCGCTCCGACTCAGGAAAGAGCTCCTCCTCCTCCTTCTCCTTCTTGGGCTCCAGGAGACCCAGCGTTGGGGGGCTGGCCAGGATGGGGTTCACCACTCCCACAGAGGGGATGGTGACCGGAATGGGAGGCCGGGCTGGGGTCACACCTGCAGCAAATCCACCAGGTCCACTGGTCACTCCCCCGTCTCTGCCCTTCCCAGGAAGGAGTGAAGCACCACCTACCCAGGCCTGAACCATGGCCTGTCCTGGCCACAGAGGGCTACGCGCAGAGGGGCAGGAGAAGAAGGGAGGCCCTGACCCACCCAGGCTCACCTGTGATGACTCCTGGCGCCTGGGCAGCCATGACAGCCTGGGGCAAAGCCCCCAGAGGTTGGGCCAGAGTCAGTGCAGGGGACACCAGTCCAGGAGTGGCCAGGGTACCCAGCACCGCTGCTCCAGCCACTGCTTCCTGCAACTCAGAAAGCCACCACACTCAGTCCCCGATTTGGCTGCCTCCACTCAAGACCACCCAAAGAGCCAATCCCCAAAGGATGAGGGAGAGAGAAGCTGTCACCCACAAACGAACCACACAACTGCACCAGCCCTCACCTGAGCTGTGATCTTGGCTGTGGCTGCAGCTGCGGCCACGGCAGCAGCAGGTGGGAGGCCTCCGGGTGTGGCAGGTGTAAGCAGGGGCATGGGGGGTGTGACAGCCTTGCCCACCCGCAAGTACTGGCCACCCAGATCAAACAGGTTCATGGAAGACACGGCATCCTGGGATGACTGGGCCTTCTCATACTCTGCAGGGCAGAGGCAGCAGTGAGGGTTAGCCCCAGTGCCAGGTGGGCCCCACCCTCACCTCAGTCTCCCCAAACTCACCAATGAACCCATAACCCTTGTGCTTGCCAGTTGTGGGGTCCCGGGCCAGTGTGCAAGATTTGATCTTGCCAAAGGCCTCAAATACGCTCTTGATGTCATCGTCGGAAAGATCCTGGTGCACAGAAGCCACGTAGATGCGATTGAAAGCTCGCGCCTCCTCAGCCAGCTGGTCTATGATAGGCTGGGCCTGCCCTATATTGCTGGGTCTGCCCACCTGGGAGAGAGGCAAGGGACAAAGAGTCCCCAGTCAGCCCAGGCCTGGCCACTTCGGGCTGCTCTGCGTCTCCCAGGGGACTGAAACTAGAGCACACCCGATGTCCCGGCCCCGAGGCCCACCTCCTTGGCCCCTACCTTGATGTTCCTGCCTCCTAGCATCACTGAGTTCATCTGCTCCAAGGCGAGCTGCGCAGCTTCTGGGACCTCGTACTCCACAAAGGCAAAGCCCTGAACACGTGAATGTGTCTGTCGTTAGGCGAACAGGGCCCAGGGTGGGGGGTGGGGCGGGGTGGGGAGGGGCAGACTAAATCTCACCTTGTGCTTCATGGTGACGGAGTCCCAGGACATGTCAATGCTCTTGATGGGTCCGAAGGGAGCAAAAGCCTGGCGAATGGTGTCCTCCCCAAGCTCATAGTAGATGGAACCCACGTAGACCCGACACATGATGGCCAGCGCCCGCTGCCGCTGAGCTGCCATCTGGAGCAGGACACAAGGGGAGAGAGAGCCACTGGCTTGTGAGGGGGTTGCAAGAGGCTGGGCAGCCCACTCCCCTCCTGGCCCACCTACCCAGCTCCGCTGTGGGGAGAGCTCCCCACACGGCAACAAGGTGCAGGCTCAGCTCCTGCAGTCAGGGGAGCAGGGGTCAACAGGACCCTACCCCCCAGGAAGGAAGGCCAGGCCCAAAGGCAGGACACGGACGCACCCCGGCCCATCCAGGTCCTGGGCAGACTGGCAGCAAAGCTGACAAGCGGCTGGGAGGCAGGGCTGCCCGCCCTCCCACCCTGCCCACCTTCCAGTCTGGGGGCCAGGTACCCCAAGCTGGGCTAGAAGATCCTCCCAGGGTCCTGGTCAAGTGCTCTAGCAGAAGAGGGAAGGGGAAGCCATCCAAGCTTCAGGGACCCACTGGTGTGGAGGCAAGAGAGGGGGCAGAAGACAGGGCAGCTACTGCCCAGAAGAGAGCCCAGGGGAGGAGGTCAGGAGCCCAGATGGGGGCTCCCTGCAGAGACAAAGGGCAGCTGCTCATGCAGGGCCAACTCAGGTGGGGGCTTAGCATTTGGCAAGCCCCCCAGTGTGTTGAACACCTGACAAAAAAGGGCTGGCTGGAGCTCACCCCTGCAGCCCCAAGGCCCCGCCCCCAGGAATGTCAGAAGGTGGCAGAGCTGCCAAAAAGAGAAGCCCCAGGGCTCCTTGGAGCAGGGAGGGAACAGGCCCAGCGGGCCCAGGACTCTGCTTGGGCAGACGCTGCCTCTGCGCCGGGGCAAGCTTGGGCCCAGGGACCTCCCCATGCCCCTCAGGGACAGGGTTCCCACCCCCGCCACCTCACACGTGACGTGCCAGGCAGGGGGGTTCCCAGAGCCATATGCAGTGGGCGGCCAGGAGGAGCTGGGCCCCGGGGAAGACATCAGAGGCCCAGGGCAGGCAAAGAAGATGGGATCCTGGCTCTAGTCCCTCCATAAACACGGGCTCCCCTCACCCTCAAAAGGCTCCCATAACCAGAGGCTAGTTTAGTTTCCCTCTTTAGGCACCAACCGGCCTCTTATGTAGACCAGACCTCCCCCTCCCTCAAAGAGGAGCCTAAAAATCAGATCCATGTGTTCCCCCAACTAGGAATTTCCCCCCAAATGGGACTGCCCTCCTCAAACTGGGCTCCTGACAAGTCGGCCTCAGGCCCCTGCAGAGACCAAGGACCAGCAAAGGTGGAACTACGTCCCCTCTCGCACCAGACACCCCACACATACACCATCTACCCCTCAGGTCAAAACCCCCCAAGATAACAGCACGTCTCCTCTCCAGGGTGGGCTTCCCAACAGCAGGTGGGCCAAGAGCCCTCCTCCCTGACGTCTCCCCATAGACAGACACTCCTCAGTGAGGACGTCGGGTCTGTCTGGCCCTCAGACAGGGCCACATCTCCCCTGTGAGAGCAGCACACCCAGGGATGACCCCCAGGGGATGGAGCAGTGTCTCTTTCCCAGACTCCTCCGCCCACGGCAGCCAAGGCCACAGCCACCGCCTCTGCCTCCTCCCTGGCCCACTCTGGGCTCAGCCCCTGCCTGCTCCCTGGCTGCATGGCCTCTACCCCTTGCTGACAGCCAGGCCCAGAGGACCAAATTCTTGCCCTTCCCTCTCCTGCTTGCTTGGGACCCCCCAGCCCCCCGCCCCATCCATCCATCCTCCCTCCAGGGTCTGATGGGGCCGGGAGTTAGGACTCGTCTCTCCTCGGGGGCCTGACCCCAACCCAGGAGCCCGGGCAGCCTGGAGACCGGCAGAGCTGAAGGCCCAGGCGCTGCGCCTCGTGCGTGCAGGCGACATGGGTGAAGGTGGGCCTGGCGTGGGCAGCTGCCCTCCTGGCCTGCTGCCCTCCGCAGTTACCTGGCCGGTTAGTTTTAAGGCGGGACCTCAGAGCAGATGGAGGCCTCCCCAGGGGCGGTCCCGGGTGGGTGCCCGCCCACACCACTGGCCCCGCCACGCCTGGCGCTCTGCTGCGCTCGTCCCGAGCTGGCGGGCAGGGCCGGCTAGGGGAGCAAGGTCCCCAGCACGCGGGCTGCACTGCCCCCCTCTAGCCCTGACTAAGGACATGAGCCCCGGAAGAAGTGAGCATTTCTATTGACCGATTGCAAAGGTGAGAGAGGATCTCCAAAGCCCATTGTCACTGCTGCCATCTGAAAGACAGTAAAGACAGAGTTCAGTCTGTTGGAGCCGAGCAGTCTCCCGCTCTTGTCACACCTCACGCAGACAGCGGCAAGGCCCGGA